CTGATTCGGTAACCAAAACCGCTGATTCGGTAACCAAAACCGCTGATTCGGTAACCAAAACCCGCTGTTCCGGCAACCAAAACTGCTGATTCGGTAACCAAAGCCGCTGATTCGGTAACCAAAACCAGGAAACCAAAACCAAAAACATTTCCAAAAGAAGAAGCTGATGACCCGGGTAGTAGTAGTAGTAGTAGTAGTAGTAGTAGTAGTAGTAGTAGTAGTTGGTGGTAGCGCCACCGATGCAAAATCTCTCTGCGAAGCAACAGGAGAAACGTTATTATCTTGGCAATGATTCCCCCCCCACCCCCCCACCCCACACTCCTCCTGCCGTCCGCCACTAATTCTTACTTGAATGAATGTAAAAGCCCTTTGCATCCACGTGGAACGCTATTATCTTGGCCATGAACCCCCACACCCCACACTGCTCCTACCCTCCACTCTGTTCCGCCAGATGCTGTTGATACAAGTTAACTCATATATGAACGAATGTAAAATCCCTTTGCATCCACATGGAACATTATTATCTTGGCCATGGTTCCCCCCCCCCCCCCCCCACCCCACACTCCTCCTGCCGTCCACCACTACTTCTTAGTTGACTGAATGTAAAAGCCCTTTGCATCCACATGGAACGCTATTATCTTGGCTTAGTTTCTGAACAGTCTAACTTGGTTTCTGAATCGACTATTTTGGTTTCTGAATCGGCTGTTTTGGTTTCTGAATTGGCTCTTTTGGTTGCTGAATCGGCTCTTTTGGTTTCTGAATCGTAGTTGCTGAATCGCCTGGTTTGGTTTCTGAATCGGCCGACTTGGTTTCTGAATCGGCTGTTTTGGTTTCTGAATCGGCTGTTTTGGTTTCTGAATCGGCTGTTTTGGTTTCTGAATCGTAGTTGCTGAATCGGCCATTTTGGTTTCTGAATCGTAGTTTCTGAATCGGCTGTTTTGGTTTCTGAATCGTAGTTGCCTGATCGGTTGGTTTCTGAATCGGCTAATGACCACTGCTTGGTACTTGCTTCATGCACATTGTAAAGTTTTTTGTATTCGCTCTATTTTCCGATTCCCTTGAAATTGTACATGTTCAGGGTGTCCAACCTATATGTGCATTTCTCACATGTCTTGCACTCATTCTCTGCATGGTACTTGTCATCTCTGAGTCGTCATTGCATATTCTAAAGTTTATCAACTTATATCAACTTATATCACTTATATCATCCAACAATGTTTGCAAATTGAAAATAGAGGCATTGCGATTAGTCATACAATTTGCATGATCGACATAAGACCTAGAGATGGACGGCACCATGCCCATGCAGTAAATGAATGAAAGAAGGAAAAGGAAACTGAGAAGCATGCATTGTTGGATCATATTTACCCACCTGAAAATTTAACAATTTCAATACCCGCGATCGACGTAAGATCTAGAGATGAACAGTGCTATGCGTTTGATGAACGGTGCCCAAATATTCTTAGCGCTGCGCCTCTCAGAACACATTGGCGCAGGCTCACAAATACAAGGCTCCACAAAAAGACCTATACTTACACATCAATAAGCAGCGTGGGATGTAGTTTGGTTTGGCAAAACCAGAAGTTCATGTAGTGTACTACAAAATTGCCGATTCAACCGTGCCCGGAGCTCTGGGAAGCTTGTCCCCAGCTCCGCAAAGCTCAAGGTTTAAGCTTCAGAGATGCACTCTGCATGGAAGAACACAAGTTTTCCTACCAGCTATCTTCCACGCGAGACCTCGCCAGCTTTAAACATCTCACAGCAACAGTCACTTGCGCTACTGCTACTGTGCAACTGTGACTTGCACTACTGCTACTGTGCAACTTTTGCTTATTTGCTACAGTTACCATTCAACTGCGACTTGCACTACTGTTACTGTGCAACTGTTACTTACTTTCTGAATGTCCGTAACACAAAGATTTTCCTCTGAACTTTCTTTGCCAATTATTTTGACACGGCCACCATTTGCATGTGCAGGCAAGTAGCCGCAGCATGTGTCTCGGCTCGTGCTCTGCCAGGGTACTGAAAGGTCTGCACCAGGGCTTGGCTTTTGTGCAAGTGGTTGAATGCTCTCATCACACCTACTTACTCCGCAATGTTTGTTCAGGTTTGGACAGAAGGCGCACACAAAAACAACCATTCTGCCTGTTGAGAAATCTCAACACTTGTTTGTAGAAGCAAATCATCACGAGCTGCAGGACCCACCTGCACTATGGACACATTGTGAACATGGCGGTGGCTGCTTGGATAACCAAACAATTCTCACCAGAATCTGGTACTCATTGCTTTCCAGAAACCAGCTTCCATCATTTGCCTCGCAAAAGCTGGGGGTTCCACACCCCAGGAGAAATCACTCGCAGTCAGCCACTAACCGATTTTCATGCCGTGTGACGCACTGGCCTCAGCGTCATAGGCCTGCAATGCCGCTACATGTATGCAACACAATCCCATCACTGCACAGGAAGGTGCACTCTGACAATGTCTCAGCCTATCTATATATATATATTAGATAGTATACGTGTCTGAGCACACAACAGAAAGATCCTTGAGTTCGATGACAAATTTCACCTCCTTTGTCTCCGATACATCCAACGCAACCTTGGGGGGTTGAAACGTTTCGCGTGCACTTCGCACTTGTTTGTTCCTGTATAACCGCGCATGGCCTTTGCGAAGGCAGCTAGGACTATTGGCAAACGCTTTCTTCGGCAAGCCTCAGGACGTTGCAAGCGTCCGGTACTGACCTGCTGAGCCTGGCTACCTTTGACTACGAGGCTACCTTTGACTACGACTCACTTCTCTTGATGCATCTTGCGCCTGGCATGTCGCATACACCTGCACTGTTTCCAATCCTGCCTCAGCTTCACAAGAAAACGCATACAACAAGAAGAAAGCAACCAAGGTACCCGGTCTCCCACATTGGCCACCTGAAATGGCCACGATATTTTGCTTTGTTGCAAGTTGAGAAACAGAGCCACCATCAAACTGTGACTGCGCACCAGTCAAGAATCCCACAGTCCAAGGCTTCAAAAAGCACTAAGCATCAAAAGCATCAATGAAGCGCCTGGACAACCACTTGCACACTTCCAGCAGCCAAAGTAGCAGCAATCTCCGAGTACTTGTACTGCGTGTAGCTTAACCCCCAGCCTAAGTTGCTTCGCTCCTGGATATGTTTTTCAGACATGGCCTCAATTCGTTGCATGCCACATCTGTAACTTTCCAGAAGTCCAAGGCCTCAACCGAAAGGGTATCTTGCCTCCGTACGTTGCCACATGTGTTTGAACCTCGCAAATTTTGGCTCCCTCGCAACTGTTCAAAATCCATCGAGGGACCCATGGCTGTAGGGGTATGTGGGCTCCACATCGATCGTCTGCAACGCCCAAGGCCTTAGTCTTTGTGAATCAGACCATTAAAAAAAGCACCACTGAGAGTCGCACGCCAGGCTGGTTCCATGCGGCAGGTAATCCTTTTGGCAAAAAAACGTCTGAACGAAAAACTGTGCCATTGCATCAATCGGCTGCTCGAGTCGGCGGAAGCGAAATGCCACTTTGCCTCCGCCCGCTTTGGCGTGATCATGGGCATCCTGCCTGATGGGTTTACCTAGCAGCCGGGCAAAAAGAGTGGAGTCCTCCCCGTGGTCACGCACAAATGTTAATGCGCTAGGCGAGTATGCGCTAACACTGCTCTTGCAACTAAATATCGCGACACGAACGTAAAACGTGCGCGATGAGGTGATGAAAGGTGTAGCGTTGTGTCTTGTGATTTTGGGCACGAAGTGTCCAAAGGTCTGTGATGTGGTGTGTATGGCGAAGCGCGTGGTGAATTGCGACGCGACGAAGTGTAGTGTGGTGATTGATACGCACGCTCGTTGAGCTGTGGGTCAAGAGAAGCATGGACTACTGATATTCTTCAAACACAAAGCCTGGCCTAATGGTAACGAAAAGGCAACAAGAGAGCGCGCCGCAAAGTGAACGCAGCTCAAGGGGATCCAGCTATGTTCGACAAGGCGGCGAGAGAAATTACAGTGGCCGTCTGACCCACTGGCGCAAAGATCACTTCAGGGTCGGAGGTGCTCAACAGGTGCGTAGTGGCAGCACTAAAAGGTGCTAGTTACTTCATCAAACTGAAAGGCCATATAATAGCAAGCAGCTGCACGAGGGGATCGACAATGAAGAACGGGGTCGGGGCCAGACGTGTTCCTTTCGTCGCCCTTCGGGCCACCAGCGCCAAGCCAGCTGCAGCCTTCATGCCGCTTCCCACCCCGAACCGGGGCTCCGCTGCCAACTACTGGCCACGAAAGGAAAACAAGGGAGCGTAGGGCTGCAGCTCAAGCAGCCAGGTTCCAGGCGAAGGCATACATGGATGCAAGGTGGATGCAAGTTCTGATAAAATGTGGAACGTGGCAGTCTTTTGGTTTCCTTACTTTGGCCCTCTTCGGCCGTTGTGTGAGTGAACAAAGGAAGCTTCAAGCAGGCAGTGCCATGGACCAAGCAAGTCTGGCACCAAGAAAGAGTTTGCATTGTTTTGTGATGGATATGGATGGGTATTGTTTCTGTCATCATGGTGTCTATACGCGTGCATATTTGTTGGCCATTAAACCCATAGTGAAAACTTGTGGTTACGATAAATTCCGAACACAGGTCCTGTATATATAGATATATATTTCTTGACAATGTGCGTACATCCTTGAGAGTATGAAGAATGCCAAAACTTGTTTGAAATTACGACCATCTACCTGTCTTTCCTTTCTGATGTGTGTGTGCGCTATTGGCATCACATTTTGGTGAATATTGACTTCTGCGAAACTTGCGGGAAGATCCAAGACTAGCCACGTGTCCGGCCAAGATGTTTGCAAGAGCGACTCCACCAAGCCTTGGGAAAGCAAATGAGGCCCATTCCACGCTAGTCTGGTTATATACTTCACCCCGGCCAACAAAACCTACAAATGTGATCGAAGCTAACAAAACAAGGCCAGGGCGGACCAGGATACCCCATCCAAACAATGCCCTTCACCTCTCCAGCCAAATACTCAATCGGTACCAATCAATGGGTAGGCGCCTTATCGACAAAGTCTTCCACGATAACCGATGCACCTCACCAGCCATGTAAGGGGCGAGCTACAATGGGCAAAGAATGTGAACCAAGAGCGACTGTTTTGGGGCAATTGGCCTGCCGTGATGACAACAACCACGTTTTGATTCAAGTTGGATGCCTGGCACAAGTCCTATCCCTTCACAAAGCATTGTATTCTTTGTCCAGTCCATCCAATCAAGTTTGCAATCATATACATATATATATATATATTATATATATTATATATATTATATATATATATATATGATATATATATATATGATATATATATATATCATATATATGATATATATATATATATAATTGTTTTTGTTTCTTCAGCCTTGTGAATCAAGTGCTGGTCATGAGGGTGCCTCAAATCAACATAGAAGGACTCACAACATATGACGAAGTATTGCAAATGTCGTGAGGCCTCACACCTTGACAGATAAAACAATGCTTGATGCGACCGTCAATGCTTATTGCTTTCCGTCACGGCGCAAAGTCAAATATTGACGGTCGCCGCCAGTTGCTGGCGGAATAAACCTCATACATCGCAAAGCCGACCTTTTGCAATGAATCTGCCTAAGTGAATACAAAACCACATCAATCTGAGTTTCTGGCTCGCCTTCAAAGGTAAAATTGAAGCCGACATCCACTACCACAAAATCAGCTGATTGGACAAAGGCTTCCTCGTGATGGAAGGCTGTCATCAAAACTCTCAACTAGTGTGGCGCTGGAGGAGTGGAGTTTCACAACGCTGAAACATTCGCAAAAGAATCTGCAAAAAACTCAGAGGAACTGGCCTGGGAGGCATTTGACAAGTCTTCAACCATCTGAACAGCTGCCTCCTGATACCTGTGAATGCATATGGTGGGCACCGTCAGGAAACATTTTGCGCACACAACCAACCAAGACTACGCACAGCGAGGCATGAAGCGCTCACTCTCAGCAAAGCGCTTCCCAGTAAGGCCATCCAGGACATTCACCAACCTGGACATTTCGGGAAACCAGAAACCACTGACGATCGACATGATGGACACTCTGAAGAAATTTGAAGGAACTCTCTCTTCTAAGACACGTGTGTGTGTGCTTAATTTACGCGCGCTTCGACGCACATATTTACATATTTTTCAAAAACCTTGTTCACTATGTAGCCCTTTCGAAGTCGAGAAAAGGCGCTCTCGCCTACACGTGGGTTTTGAGCCCAAAGGAGCCCTAGAAAGTCCACCCAACAAAAGGTTGACTGTTGGTCCCCATGGCTTTGGATGGAACCAACCAACAGTGTCCCAGTGGAAGGGACCTCTCCATCTGATGCGGGCGAAGGTCAGCAGACGGTTCTACATGGTGGAAGCCTTGAAGTGCGAAGGAGGCGCTGATGGACTAGAACGCCAGACTTCACCGGGAGAGAGGCTATGAGAGAAGCATGTTCACGCAAGGTGGATGTCAAAAACAACTTCATCGACCTATGGGACACTCCGTTGCAGTGGGAGGCATGCGCCGGCCTATTCATAGTGAAGAAGGACAGCCAGGGTTTGGGCGTATGTGGGCGGAGGCTTCCCAACTCACAGGGGTTCCTTCGCAACGTGAAGGGCAACCACAAGGCCTTTTTGAGCGGAGTGGGCCTACTTGGTCACGGAGCCCGCGTGAACTTGATGGGCATGTTGGAGAGTGTTGCGGGCTTCAGACAGCAGCCTCTCATTCCGGGTGGACAACAAAAACAGCAGCTTCGTTAAGGATATTGTTGGACAAGTTCAAAAGGGCCATGAAAAAAAGTGAAAAGAACGTTCAAAAACAACCTGATTGCGAAGAAGAACATGAACGCGAGCATGGCCAACCTCAAGCTGTTGAACCATCTGCTTCGGGGAGCGTCTGCGCTGTTGGGGGACTTGATGGGGCAGGATGTCTTCACGGTGTGAATGGGGACCAATCGTCAATGGCTTCACGCTGAACCAATGGACAAGTTGCGATGTCAAGCAATCTTCCGGCGCGCTTCAACGTTCTGCCTTTGATGAGGGTTGAACACCTCAAGCTGTTCTTTTGAAAGCTTCGCCCGAAAGTTTGCGAAAGGATGCAATCTCATGTCGGCGCGCAACTTCTGGGACTTGTGCCTGTCAGCCTGGCCAAGAACCTGGTCGGCGCTGCCCTCAGCATTCGTCTCCTTTGTCGGGGTGGCAGACTGGCTTGAGATCGTGGAGGAGGTGGTTGATCCGCGTGGGAACTGAAAGTTCACCCGCCTGACATCGACCCGGGATCGCTTTGCCACCAACTTGCGAAAGAACAACACTCAAATTAACTTGTGAATACGTGAGTCTTCGGCGAAAACGGGAAAGCTTCCATGAGAACGTGGAACCTGGACCCTGGCCCCATTCTGCGCATGGATAACAGCTATCCGCAACCGCTTGTGGACGTTGAACCCTATCCACCACCTTCTGCGGTTACACCAGCCTTTGGTGGGTCTATGTGCTTGACGACAAAGTCAGCTCCGAAAGCAGCAAAGACTGTGGCCCAGCTGGAGGATGAGGTCAATCCTTGGCCGATCTCAAATTGCAGACTTCATCGGAACTTTTGCCAAGGAAGTCAAGCCAGCCTGAAATCAGGGTGTATGTGGATGGAACGATGCTGGCGACCACTTCTATCCAGAAGAGGGGAAGGAGAAGCCTGCTGCTAAGGAGGTGTCTGGAAAGTAATCTGGAGATGCGGCGACCTCATCAAGCACGAGAAGGCTGTGGCGCAAGATGGCGGAAAGAAAGCTTCATCAAAGACACCGCCACAAGCCGTTCCCAAAACACCACCAAAGGCGGCACCAAAGAAGGCTGCGAAGCATGGACATGGGCGTTTCCAGGGCCTTCATCATCCGGAAGATGAGGTGCTTGGGGACAGCTCATCTATGCTGCGCTTGTTGCCTATAGTCTACGTCTCCTTCAGGAGGACATAGTGCTGGTGGCTATGGCTCAAGGAGCTGGCTCAATGTCGGGTCTTTGCGGGCCGCCTGACTTGAGGCAAGCCTACACATGCTTATTTAAATACACACATATATATATATATACTATACTGTACATTGTTCGTTTCCTTGAGCAACGAAGGCTTGACGGGCGACTCGTAACAACGCACTCCGTCCGTCCGAAGTGGTCCTTCCAGAAGGCTTCACAGCGCTGGAGCCGTGATCTCCGAGCTCCAAAACCTCCGCGGAGCCCAGCACCGCCAAGCTTCGCACCTTCTCCTGCGGAGAAAAGAACACAAGCAACACAAGAAACCGAGAGCGCAGCATTTTCAACTCTGCAAACTCATCTTGAGCAGTAGCCATGCTTCAAGGCTCTGGCATGGCATAAGTATGTCTTGCTGGTGAAAGGGTCTGTCACCATCATACAAAGTGAACCGCAAGCGAAGCAACATTTTCGCCTTTGGCAGCAAGTTGTCATTCTTGAGGAGGACGATTCCCTCTTGGGCTGCTTGCAGGATCAGCCTGCACCATTTGCAGCAGGCAGGGCAATACAACAAAGCATACATTTGGGCACAGCCCCTACCTGTCGTATTTTGCATTGTCCCAAGAGATTCGGGATGTATGGTTCCTGCTCTCGCTGACCAAACCATACCTGCAAATGCGGATAGTGACTTCCATTTGGGCACTTTGTAACACTCGCCTGAGTTTGGAACGCAGAATCCTTCGCGTTGCCGCGTTGAGCTTCCGGAACGTGTTGCAGTCCTCTGCCCCAGACCCGGCGCATGCCTGCGCCTGCAAAGACTGACAGTGGCCAAAAACCAGCAACTGTCTACGCAATTTGCGGACGCGCTTTAGATAGGTCCGCCCCGGAAAGCATTGCGATGGTAGCTTTTTGATCACAGAAAGTACTCACCGTTCAGACTTGCAATATGTGGCTAGGCTGCAGTTGTGACATGCGAATAAAAGTGCCTGGGCCACTGCATCCCGGTTCTTGCTACAGAATGGCATTTCCATGTCCACCCCAGCATTGTAAAGGCCTGCAGCGGGAGAGAACCAAAACTATGCCAGCAGAGTCCTTGTCATTTCTGCGAGCTGCGAAGTGAAGTGTGAAGGGTGGCAGCTGGATGGGAACAAGCGTTGGCGTTCATGTCAACCACAAAACAAAGAGGTTTGGAGAGGCGGGTGCATCTTGCAGGCGCCTCCTGGACGTATTGTCCAGTGCTGTTAATTTTGTGTCGCAGCTGCGTGAGAGGCAGCCACACCCTTCTACTGCTCTCCATTTCCTCCGAGGCTCTGTTGCTTCCAATGAAGCCTTTGGATCCATAGAAGGGACTTGTTTTGCCCACTTCACCCAGAATCATTCCTCCTGTGATGGCTTCCCATGACGCAAACCAGTCCTAAGCTAGCTAGGGTGCTCGAACAGGAAGTTACACACTCTCTCTCACTCTTTCACTCTCTCACTCACTCTCTCACTCACTCACTCACTCTCTCTCTCTCTCTCTGCATCTCAAGATTGTGCTATGAAACCCTATCTTTGTGAATATGTCCAAGGGCCACACCGTCATAATGTTGCCATCAAAGCCAAGATCATTTCTCAAAATATCAATGAACTTTGGGTCGGCAAAGGCCCATTTTCCCTGAACCCTAGCGGGCGCCAGGGCAAAAAATCAAAGACAGAGTGAGTGAGCTGCTCACCCAACACAGCCAGCATCCCAACCTAACCACCATCCCCACCTGTTGTATGATGTCATGACGAGCTCTGGCGAAGAGTCTGCGACCACCAAAGCCCATGCCCTCCAAAAAGGGACGAAGTCTCTGACACCACATCAACAAACCACATTCTTGTCCTAGCTAATCAAAACATCAAAGATTGTTCAGCGCCTCAAATACACATCATGCAGTGTTTTCTCATCCATTTCAGCACTCACCCACCACCTTAGCGACGTCTGGTTACGTTGAAAATTGTGAGATCGATCGCCAGTCATGCTGTGCCATTGAAACTCCTTGGAAAGTCTAACTGGACTCGAAAGGGAAAATAAATCGGACTCAAACTTCGCAGTTGAGTGGCCGAGTGTTCTCTATGTTGTTGGCCAAAAAATGTTTCACTGTAGCCATAACGGTTTGATTTTGCCTCAGTAAAAAACGGAAAAACTACACTTTCCAATCTGCAAAGCTTTGCTACCTTAAGCAAGAAGACTTACAATTGTCACTGCTGTCGAATTTCATCCCACACAGCCTGCCAAACAAAGTGAATGTTCAAAGGAAGTTTAGTTTACGAAACTTCCGTGTTACGGACATTCAAGAACTGTTCATACACCACTCATCAATACACTACTCATCATACACCACTCATCAATACATCACTCATCATACACCACTCATCATACACCACTCATCATACACCACTCATCGTCCACCACTCATCATACACCACTCAACATACACCACTCATCAATACACCACTCATCATACACCACTGATCATACACCACTCATCATACA